GTGAGGGGGGCCCTGCCGTGTGGCTGTGCCTGGGGATGGGGACCTGCTGCATGGCCCTGCATTGGCATGGGGACCTGCCATGTGGCCGTGCCTGGGGGACAAGGACTTGCTGGATGGCTGTGCCTGGGGACAAGGACCTGCCATGTGGCTGCGCCTGGGGATGGGGACATGCTGTGTGGCCCTGGATGGGGACAAGGACTTGCTGTGTGGCTCTGCCTGGGGACAAGGACCTGCTGCATGGCCACCGCCGAGAATCTGCCCCAAGGCTGTGCACAGGGACAGGCACCAGCCAGATGGCCCTGCATGGGGACAGGGACCTGCCACGTGGCCGTGCCTGGGGACAGGGACCCGCTGTGTGGCCGTGCCCAGGGACACGCTGCAGGGCTGTGTCTGGGGATCCGCCACGCGGGTGTGCACAGGGCTGGGGACCTGCCACGTGGCCGTGCATGGGGATGGGGACAGCTTGGTGGTGGCCATGGCAGGAGCTGGGAGGCCCTGGGAGAGGACGGTCACATGGAGAGTCCCCAAACTGAGCACGGGGTGCAAAGCTGCAAATGCATTTCCCACTTTGGGTCCTCCTGTCCCCATTGCCACCTGCCACGGTCCCCCCACACCATGCAGGGTGAAGGCTGCGGGTGCCTTATCCATGTCCCAAAGCCACCTTGGTGCCTGTTGCTGTCCCCTGCCCTGTCCCCACATTGTCCCCTTGCCCAGCCGTGGCTCCTACCTGCTGCTGGCTCTGCTCCTCCAGGTTGAGCTTGACCTCGAGGGACTGGCGCGCTTCGAGGAAGGCTTTGCGGTGCTTGCGGTCGGCCATGTAGTAGGACATGGTGCCCACCGTGATGGCGCAAAGGTAGATGGCAACGTTGGACAGGATCTTTGGGGACAGAGAAAAGGAAACGGGGGTGAGCGGAGCCGCGGGGAAGCCCGTGCAGGGGCAGCGCCGGTGTCACCATGAGTCCCTGTTTGGGCAGCAGAACCTGATAGATGAGAGTGGAAAAAAACATTCTAATGCTGGAGGAGGACATAAAATTCACCCTGGGGATAAATCACCAAGCCACGGCCACTGTTAACTGCTGGGGGGACTCACTGGAGACCAGGGGGACTCACTGGGGACCGGGGGGACCGTCACAGTGGCTCTGCAGGAGCGGTCCCCAGCTGGGGATCACGCCCTGAGCATCCCAGGAGACCTCGTGGTCCCTGCGGGCTGACTCTGCTTCATTAAAACTTGCGGAGATGTTTTGGAAAAAGGCAGCAGGCGGCAGGGGCTGGGGGCTCCCAGGGGCTCCTGGGCCACCCGCTCCCCCCACCCCTGCCACGGGAATTGCATCCCTTTGTGCAGAAAAAGTTAATAAAACCACGGTCAAACCCTAAAATCATGTATTTACTCGTGCTCCTGCCCCTCTACATCCCTCTCAATGGCCAGAAATACGGGCGTGAGCCTGCAGCGCCGGAGATGGGTGCCCCTGGGTGTTGCTGGCTGTGACGACTTTTGGGGATTCAAGGGAGCATGGCTGGGGGGGCTCGCTGCCTCGTCCCAAAGGCTGGACCCTGTCCCCATGGGCAGGACCCTGTCCTGTCCCACAGGCTGGATCCCAGCTCCACAGGCTGGATCCCACCCTATAGGCTGGATCCCAGCTCCATGGGCTGGATCCATCCCATCCCAAGGGCTGGACCCTGTCCCCGCAGCCCAGGAGGGGACAGAGCTGATTTGCAGCTGGGAGCAATGAGCCCTTCGTGGAAAATATGACTGATGAGGGAAAGCTGAAAGAATTCAGTTTGTTTAGTCTGGAAAGGGGAAGAGCAAGAGCGACAGGGAGCTCCAGCGATGCCAAAGGGGTGATGAGGACATGGAGATGTCCCCCACGCCATGGGCCATGTCCCACAGCCAGCATGGAGGAGGCAGCAGGAAGAGCACGGAGTTGTCCCCGGCCTTGTCTCCTCCAGGGCTGTGTGGCTGGGCTCAGCATCCTTCTCCTGATCCCCCATGTCCCCGTACCGACCTTGTCCCATCCCTGGTCCCCATATCCCATAGCCCGGCTTGGCTGGAAGAAAGCCATCACATGACCCTGGCCCCAAAGTTGTCCCCATCCTCGAGGGTTTCATCACTTGGCAGCATCATGGAGCGCCAGGGAGGAGCTGCCAACCCCTTCCACACGGGGGAAACTGAGGCACAAAAACCAAAACAGGCCATGTGCAGCAATAAACCCTGGCACTGGGGGGTGGCTGCTGGCGTGGCACCATCCCGGGGCTGACAAACTGATTTGCAGCAAGAAAACTTTTTTTTTTTTTCTTGGGGGGG